TTTTTTTTTTTTTTTTTTTTTTTTTTTTGTACCAGGGATCAAACTGAGGACCTTACACTTGCAAGGCAGGCGGTGGCACCACTGAGCTAAATCTCCGACCCTCTACTGTGAAATCTAAATTCCATGGAAATGCTGTCATTTGGGCTCCATATTATACACAAAGCACAAGAACCCTCCAAGGGCCAAGTTTCAGCCCCTCAGAAGAACATCAGTCCTTCTGAGTACCTGGCACAGACCAAACAACCCCAGGGCCACACTCATCTCCTGGCTCTGCCGTGTGTGGGCTGTGTGGTGCCTGCCTTGTGGGATGGAGGGAAGGAGAACGTACGCTCATGTGTGCAGGGGACTTAAATATTGCCCAATACACACACACACACACCCACACACACACATTCGTTGAGAACCATTCTACATAATTTTGGGCAAAATCACTTCATAATTAAAGTATGACATAGCTAAGGCCCAATGTCTCTTGCCCTTGAGCCCGCTGTGGCATGCAGAAACATAACTCCGTTTGCCTCCGGTCACAGCTGAGGCCTCAATGGTCCGGTGGTGCTGTGGTGCTCAAGGGCAAGATGCATCAGAGGCAGCCATCCTGGTTCTAAGAACAGAATAGTAATGAAGAGAAAGGTTTCACCCCGGGGAAGCACAATTCCTTATTAGCCTGCTATCTCATCCCACCTACCTACTATTGTAAGAAGGCTCTCCTTTACAGCCCTCATCAACATAAGATCCTCAGTTACCTGAGATCCAATCAGCATCTGATCCTCATCAGCCTAGGATTACTACCACCCCTAAGTCACCGAATGCTCTCTCCAATTATTGTGTGCACCCAATAGATAGTGGCCGGCTCGGAGAGTCTTCATCTGTGCCCGCTCTGAGGCACTGACTTCCTGGGCCCCATACACTTTGAAGTTACACAGGTGTCTATTGTCTTTCTTTCTTTAGCCCTTGCCGTCCCCCTTTCTACATGGTCTGAGGATCAGTCACCCTCTTGTAAGACCTAAAGTCTCACTTCCACTCTGAGGAGTGTGAACATCTGAAAGGGCCTTCAGGATGCTGAGTCCTATAGCCCAACGATGGCTCCAGATGCAAGACCCAGGGCCTTACTTCCGGGAGCCTTGAACAGCCCAAAGGGCCTCCAAGATGCTGGGACCTATAGCTCAGCGAGGCTCCAGGAGCTCAATGAGCAGAGAGAGTCACCCAGGAAGGAACACACCAGGCTTGTTGGTAAATAGACCTTTATTAGTCTGGCCAGACGGCACTCTCAGAACTGAGCAGCTCAGAGAGGCACAGCACAGGGGTTAGCACAGTTTTTTAAAGGCAAGGGAAGAGGATTGCAAGCACAGCAAGTGGGCCAGGGGTCAGGGGCTCGGTTCTCTGTCATCTGTCTAAAGGAGTCAGCTATACCGTGCACCTGGCCTTTCACCTCCAGACCTCAGGCTGTTCTGTTCTAACGAGGCCTTCAGTCGCTATCTTGTTTCCCCATACCAGGCTTCCATACACTCTGTTTTAACCTTATCTTGGAGCTGGGTAGAAAGAAATGTGTGCTGCTATGTGGTGGCTCACTTGGGGTTACATAGGGGTTAGGGTCCCACACTTTCATACACAGTGCTGCACAATCATTTGCTGGGGTTTTCCCAGTCCTTCCAGAGCATGTAGTACAACACAGAACTATGGAATCTAGAAATAGCTGCGATTCAAGGTTGAATCATAGCCTAACTGCCCTGTCCCATGCCTCTGCCATTACTCCCACAGAGCATTACTCCAGCCCTTGCCTGCCTGTCCCCCTCCCCGTCCTCATGGCCTCTTGTCCCTCGGTCGGCCCACCACAGCCTTACTCCTCTGCCACCTGCACTGACTATCTTACCCAGAAGAGACACTAGGGGAGCAGCTCCAACCAGGACTGTGCCAAAGTGGCTGGGCCAAAGAGGGCTGGAGGCGAGGCCTATGGAGCGATTGGCTGCGCAGGATGAGAGCACTAAGTGGGGTAAGCAGGGGTCCAGGAGGAGGGAGTCCCCAGGCAGAGCCACAGACCCCTTGACAGAGGCCTGCGGAGACAGGGAGAGACTGCAAAGGCTGCCAGAGCTCCTCCTGTCTCTCTGAATGAGCCCAGAATGCAGGGACCCAACCCGTCCTGACTTGGTCCATTTCCAAGGGTCATTTGCTGAAAGAATCTTAGAGAGATAAGAAACCATCTCCCTCAGGGCTCAAGAGCGGGCTTGCTTGCTGCTTGCTGTAGTGCAGCATGTTTCCCAGCTCAGAGGTCCGCTCCGCAAGGCTCCTACACAGCACACAGGCATTGGCCAGGGTACTGAGTGAGGGAACTGACAGGAGCAGCGGATGCTCAGCCTGCCTGCTGTGCCTCAATCCCATCTGCTGCAGTGGCTATGCACAGACCAGGCTGGCTTGTTAGCTTCACAGAGAGAGGGTGAAATCAAGCTCCCACAGCCAGAGAGGTGGGAAAGGAGGAGAGCCCAGCTGGGCTCGAGCACGGCCAGAAGAAGGTGCTGGGAGAAAGTGGAAGGGGTCAGAGGGGAGCAGGAAGCGAGAAGGGGCCGTCATGAAAGGCCACGCTTACAAGGCTGAGGATAAAGGAGCACTGGAGATTCTGCATTGGCGGATGTGGGCTTTGGGAAGAGCTCTCCGGCTTCTGGGAGAACATTCAAGGAGGAATGGTGAGGGGGAAGAGAGAGGTCGGGGAGGACTTGCCTGGGAATGAGGAGCCATCCAGGACCTGGAGAGGTAGAGACCTTTCCCATGGAAGTCACTGACATGTAGTGGACCAGTGTGGGGATGGGAAGGGGAACAGAGTGTTGGTCAGATCCCTGAAAGAAGCACAAGGAGGCATGGAGGGAGTTAAGACAGAGAGAGGGCGCTGGGGTGGGAGGGCCAGGGCGGAGGGCGCACACTGAGACTTTACAGGGAAAAGTGGCCCAACACTGAGGCCAGGAGGAATCAGAGAAAGGGAACTGGTGGGGGACTTCCTCTTTGGACAGGTGTCACTCTGTAGACACTTGGGCGGCCTGTGCTCCTGCACCTCAGCATGCACACCCATCTCCCAGCAGCTCACACAGACACGGGTGCTGACTCTGCAGGGTCAGGACAGGGCGTGCGGACCTTGAACCCCTGTGAGGAGCTGGTCTTCAGCCCCTTCAGCCTCACCCTAGTGCTGACCAGGGAGTACTGTTTGTGCCTTTTCTGGGCAGGAAAACAGAGGCTCTGTGAGCTCCCTCAGCTCGTCTGAAGGTGCCCATTGTGCAGTGCAGCCCACAGGACCTGCAACTGTGACAGTGGGTAGGGGGAGGTTGGCACAGCCCCCAACCAGGTGCGCCCTGAGCTCCAATCATCCAGGATTCCATTCAGAGCCTCCTGTGATCAGCTGATCTCTAGCCTGGAGCTTGCAAGCTGGCTTGCATCTTGATGGTTTACCTCACAGGAAACCAGATGCTATTGGCTAACTTTGCAGTAAAGATCCCCTCAGAAGGAAGGAAAGGGAAACGCTTGCCACTGGTGGAGTCTGCGTGGGACAGCGTGGCTGAGGCACATCCTGAGGTTCCCTTCCTGTCTGGCCCAGGTAGGCTCTGGGACTGCTAGGTGCCTGTGGGCGGGAGGGGCGGACCCAGCTGTTGGAGCAGTGCGGTTTCCGTCTGCTCCCACGCTATAGACCATTTTCCTGAGGCTGTTGCAGCCTAAATAGATCCAAGAAGCAAGGGAACGGGACATGCAGGGATGAGAGTCTGCCTCCTGACATGATGGAACATGGTCAGAAGCCTGAGTCGTTACATGTTAAGGACACAGAGAAAAGTTTGATTTGTCATTGACTGAAGAGAGCATGCTATGAAGTTGCATCTGGTGGATAATGAAGAATTTTTTTTTTAAGATGAGAAATAGTATTAATTTTCTGTGTAAGAGTCCTTAGCCTTTGGAGACCTACACCTAAAAGTTTATGGATGAAATTAAATAATCCACAGAGGCCGTGACTTGGGGAATACATGAAACATTGACAGTTGGTGGCTGTCAGTTAAAACTGGGTGATGGATACCATCAGATTCTCTCCACTTTTGAATATGTTTGAAAATTTAACAGTAAAAGTATTTTGATGACATCTGCATTTTTCTATAAATAGAATTTTACTTAATATAAATATAAAATATGTACAAAGATTTGATGCTGAAAAGCTAAAAGATCACTATGCCTGATTCTAGGATATTTTTTGTGCTATTTACGACCCCTCCCCCCATACTGGGAATTGAAATCAGGACCTTGTGCTTGCCAGGCAGGCGCAGTGCCACAGAGCTAAATCCCCCGCCTTGATTTTGTGTGTATGTGCTAGGGTCTCCCTATGTAGTCCAGGCTGGCCCTGAACTCGAGATGATGCTCCTGCCTCAGCCTCCGGAGTGCTGGTATTACAGGTGTGTGCCACCGTGCCCGGCTCTCTCTACAATCTTTATAAAGAGCAAGTATTGCATTCATAATCAAAATAGTTTTAATTAATAAGCTACTGGCATGAATTCATTGTTCAACTTCAATGTATGCTCTTATAACTATCACAAGGACACCTGGGCTCAGAGAGCTTGAGCCATTGGGAAGTACAGCCTTTGGGAAGAAACTCAGAGTAAAATAGGAGAAAGTGTGTCCCTGACTGTTTTGGAGGCCCGGCTGAGGACTGGCCGCTGTTTGCTTTTGCTCGGGGCTGTGGAGATCACAGCTTCATTCCTCCAGCCCCACTTTGTGAATTTACAGCTGAGTTCAGAAAAAGGAGAGGAATTTTGGGATTCTCTTCCCCCTCCCCTCAAAAGGACTTTCTTTCCTTCTCGAATACTTGAGGTACAAAACTTGAGGCAGAAACTAAGCCCACAGTGAAGGAGAAGACTGAACTATGGGAAGGCCCAGGGGACTTCTCTGCTCAGCATCTGTTGCTGGAGGGGCCTCTGGGCTGCTGAGCCTCGTATGGGGCAGGGCGGGGGCAGAGCCTGGGACTGAGGGCCCCTGGAAGAGAGGAATGGCTCCTGGAAGGCCAGAGTCCTCCTTATCTTTCACCTTGGCTCCACTGTTCTGTCACCAAGGCATGCGGGGCAGGAGGTAGTCTCCCCGGTCCCTGGGAAGGAGCACCTGGTCTCTGTCAGCCACAGGATGGTCTCTGGAAATTCGACCCCTAACCCTGCTTCTCAGCTGTCCAACTTCACAGAGGGGCTACAGGGGCTGCTTCCCTTGGGAGCCACATCTTGCCTTCACCCCTGGCAACCCTGATAAGCACTGCGCACCCTGGGAAGCCTGCTTCCTCCTGTTATGGTGGCCATTTTCAGTGAGTCCTGACAGCTGGAAATGGGTACTCCTTGACTGTCCTTCAGGGTCAGGAACAAAGGATATAAAGCCCCAAGCATACTCTTGGGACTCAAAAAACAGTATGTGTTATTATCATGGGGCTTAGAAACTGAGGCTTAGGAAGTTTGAGAGACTTCACAACACTAACTACTTTCAAAGGAGGCTATGAGAGATCCAAAGTGTTAGAGCTGACCCAGTTCGGAACCACCTTCTATTCCCTTCCCCGCCCACACTGCCCCGTTGGCCATGGAAGGACAGCCACATCGGGCACAGTCCTCCCCAACCAGAGGCTGCAGCCTCGGAGGACCTTCCTCCCCAGATCCAGGCCCTCTAGCTCCTCCTCCCAGCCCATCTGTGTTGCAGAGTCCTGAGCTCAAAGATGTTCAGAACCAGGACCTGTGAGGGATGAGCTACGCAGGGAGAACTTGCCTCTTGAGGCAGGTCATAGTCACATAAATCTGTGCACCCAGGATGGCAGAGTCCAGATGTAGGCTGACCTTCCTAAGGCCTTGTTCTGCTTCCCAAGCACCTCGGGGTTCCACTAGGCTGGACCCGCATGTCACTCATGCCATCTGGGAAAGCCAGCTTCTGACTGAATCTTGGTGCTGACTCCCTCTTGGGCGGGAGAGAGGATTGCAGATTGGGCCCGCTGCCCTGTGGGGGAAATTTTGGTGGTCTCTGGTCACACTGAGTATTTCATCTACCTATTCTTATTTGGCCAAAGTGCAACTGTTTTGGATTGTGAGTCTTGGCAGGGGGAAAAAAATCTGTGTTCCTTCTCCTACAGTATCCTTGCAGTCTGCCTCAATTTCTTACCTTAAGCCTATGTTTATTGTCAAATATAACACACTGAAAGGACAATATCAGGATAACAATCCAGCCCAATGAAAAGAACCTTGACAGCACCCTCCCCTCGCAGCCTAATAACAACCTCTTTTCCTGCAAGTAACTACTAGGGTGACTCTGTCCTTGCTTTTCTGTCTGATTCAATCTAAATATGCATCTTTAAACAACACAGTTAGCTTTGCTACCTTTGACCTCCACCTGCGTGAGTCATGCGTGGGTCTGCTTTTTGTCCAGTCTTCTTTGGCTCAACACTGAGCTTGTCAAATGCCTCTAAGTTGTAGGAGATGCACATACCAACATTGTCCATACTGTCCCTAAACTGAAAGTCTCCCACATGTGTGTCAACAGTAGAAATGATAACAAATCGGGGAATATTCAACAGTGAAACCCCGGGCCATCTGCTCAGAGACTGTTAAAACCAAGAAACTTCGCCCTAATACAGATGAGCACACACTGCATGTGAAATTTGCATTTGCAAGACAAACAATAGCTCACCCTAACATGAGGTGAGGATTAGAAGGACCATGCGCATTAGACAAGTGGCTTTATCCACAGGAGAAACAGCCTCTCTTGTCTTTGTGACAGGAGGTGGTTTAGCAGCCTGCAGCAAGGAAGCCTGCAGAGGTTATGCTCCTGTCTGCCCCACAAACAGGGAGAGAGGGCTTTGCTGCCTACATTTCAGGTCCTAGAGAGAGAGAGACCTTCCTAAATCACAGAGCAGACAGGAGGCCTGTCAAGTTTCCAAAGAATTTATTCCAAGAGAAGAGGAAGCAGTTTTGGGTTTTCTAAAGTAAATGCTCTAAGAAAAAAAGGGAGCCCACTGGGCGTGGCGGTGCACATCTGTAATCTCAGCACTCAGGAGGCTGAGGCAGAAGGATCACCATGAGTTTGAGACCAGCCTGGGCTACACAGTGAGTTCCAGAGCAGTCTGAACTACATAGTGAGACCCTGTCTCAAA